ATAAATAAATAAATAAATATTATTTTTTGATTTGGTGCTGAGGATGTTTAACATGATAAACCCTCGTCTTCTTCACTTCCTGACATCATCACCAGCATCAAGCAGGGGATGACTCTCAGCTACTACCATGAGACACTTCTCTGCTTGTTAAGGACGCTTAGGTGCAGCGGCCATCTTGCAGAGGGCATTAAACACCAGGCGGTGATTTTTAAAGAGTTTAACATGTTTTTAATACAAAGTTTCAAACAAGATTTTGATTTTAGTTAATTAGCTCTGACTAAAAACAAAAACAGAAAGATGAATATGACAGCGTCACTGGCAAAAAAAAAACACAAACTAAAAGTCACATTTTCTACAATTATAAAGAAAAACATCAGGATTAAATGATAACATTGCTCAGACGCTCAGAGCTACATTTACATGAAAAACAAAAACGAGTTCTGCGTAAATTTTAGAATTTAATTTAAGATGTTTTGCCTTTTTTTCTTACAAATTTTACTTTCACTTTTAAGGGAATTTACGTTTTTTCATGTAAAAATGATATTAATGTGTAAACGTCATTAATTTTCCTCTGAATTTTGCTCCGCCCCTTCAGCTGAGTCTTTGTATTTACATGTCAAAAACACCAACATAGATGAGTGAAACTGAGTTTGTTTTTCCACAAAATAAGTTTTTATTCAAACTGAAGTGAAATATTTTGACTTCATTAGGCGAAAATAAATAAAAATGAATCTATCTAATGCTGCAGTGTTTTAGTTTTAGTATTTCAGCTCTAACCTCAGGTTTACAGTGTTGAAAGGTTTGTTGAAACTAATGCTGTCAAATGATTAATATTTTTAATCTGATTAATCCCAAAGTAGCTGTGAATTCATCACGATTAATCTTAAATTTAATATACATTTCTATTGCATGTTGATAAAATAAATTACTTGACTTATTACTGTATTTTTCAGACTATAAGCCGCGACTTTTTTCCTGAACTTTGAACCATGCGGCTTATAGTCCGGTGCGGCTTATACGTGGATTTTTTTCTTCAGCCACCAGGGGGATCTTATGCTCCATTTGCTTCAACCACTCGCTTGAAAATAAGAAGAAAAAAATAAATAAAAAAAGCGATCCTTCCAGAGCCGACTGTTGACCAGGAAGCAGCGATTTAAAGATAGTCAATGGCCAAAAACTCATAAAAGGGGATAAAACAGACATTTTTCACAGTGGAATCTGACTGATAAAAACTTTGGAGCTTAATCCAGGACCAGTTTGTGGATAAACGTCGAGTGAAGAGCTGCTGACTTTTTTTTTCTCATTGCACTCCCCGGGGAAGGAATCCCATGCAGTGACGTATGCTGGAGCGGGAGGGCTTTCCCAGCACAGCTTCAGAGCCAGCATTACCCTGGGAGGACAACAGATACCGCTATGTGACGCAGCTTTTCTCAGCTTGTTTAACTCCGACACTGAAGAGGAGGACTTCGATGGTTTCAGTGCAGCGGAGGACGATGAATGAGACGTTTTGTTGGACCAGAAACTGTTAAAGAAAACTACCAAAATAAGGTCAGTTAAATGAACCGTATTCCTCCGAACTTTAATTCCTAAAGGTTTGCTTTTTATGTTTTGATGATGAATTCACTTTTTTGACGACAAATTTAGGTGTACTGTTTTTTTTTATGTTGGGGGTGTGGCTTATAGTCCGAAAAATACGGTAATTAGTTTTTAATGTTTTTATTTAGAAAACAAAATTGATGCTTCGACATGATTTTTTGAATATAAAACAGGACCTAAAAATGCTCCAAACATATTTGAGTCAGTCAAATTTTGTGCAGAATAATGAGGTAAAATCAAGAATTCAAGGATTTTCATTTCAAATGAGTTCTACATGAGGAATGAAAGATAGATACTAAGGTCACAGCTGTCAGCAAAACATAAATAAATAAAATAAAATAAGCAATAAGAAGAAAAAAAACCCTTTACATAATGTGTTACACATGGAGTTTTTTATTTAACCTTTATTTATCCAAGTAAACTGTTTGAGAACCACTTCTTATTTACAAACATGACCTGGCACTGAGTGCATTGTAATATATAAACCTACATATTCAGCCAGAGTAAAGTGATTGTTTGTAAAAAAAAAATAAATAAATAAAAATAAAAATAATAAAAAAATTGTTAGATTAATTGCAATTAATTTTTTTAATCTCTGCCCAGCACTAAAATTAATCAATATGAGTTAAGTCGGTTAATTTCACAGCCCTAGTTGAAAGTAAACTGCTCACCTGACTCACACAGGCCATCCAGGTGTGTCCCAGGTCACCTGCAGAGGTCAGAGGTCACGGCTCAGGTGGGCCACCTGCAGAGGTCAGAGGTCACGGCTCAGGTGGGTCACCTGCAGAGGTCAGAGGTCACGGCTCAGGTGGGACACCTGCAGAGGTCAGAGGTCACGGCTCAGGTGGGCCACCTGCAGGTTCAGGAGTGATTTATGATTCAAACAGAAAACTAAACATTTTCAAGTTCAACACAGTAAAACACCTGCATCAGCTTCATGTCATCAGATATTTTACTGACTAAAGTACACACTAAACATGTTTTTATGTTAAAACCCTGAGAACCGTGGCTTCAGGTGAAACTGTAAATATTTATCAGATCAGTTCTGTAACTCGGTTCTGTAAACTGGTCCGAACCCACACAGACCGAGCAGTTAAACAATAATATCAATGTTTCACCTGATGAAGCGCAGTTCAGAATGACTCCTGCTCCTGAAGGACGAAAAACAAACACCGGCTCTTATTGTGAAAAACACCCCGACATCCGGTTTTTAATCTTTCAAACAGCAAAGAAATCCACAAACCAGCTGCTCCTTCCTCTTTTTACAGAGACGTGACCAAAATGTTTAATTTTAGTCCAGTTTGATACAGACTGGGACCAGGACAAACTTCCCACTGGACTGGATCTGCGCATGCGCGTTTGAGCGGCGCTCTGCTTGTTGTGTGCTCACTACCGCCCCCTGTGGTGTGGAGCGGAGTGACACCAATTCATCACACTTTCCAAAAATAAAATTATAGTTCTTCATCACTTAACTTCTCTCTGGTGCATCAATTAAAAAACATTAATATTAATAATAATAATAATAATAATAATGGTCAAGAATGATCAGTGTGCATTAATAAGAAGTAAAACACTGAAATTAGTTTCTGTTGTAGCTGTTAGTGGTAACTTCCACCATTCTATTCATTAGTTATAAATTTTTCAACCATTTCAACCCAGAGTTTAGAAAAAGTAAAATTATTCTCAACACTGCCATAGAATTTACCTGAAGGACAAAGGTGACTTCAATGACAAAACCTGTTGTGTGAGTGGGAGGAGTTTCATGAAAGGTTTGACTAAACTTCAAAAAGATTTGACAGCATGAGACTGATAATACTGAGAACCTGTGGGGGATAAATCCTGACAACTCCTCCCACTGCAGCATGACGCCATCAGTCAGTCAACACAGACTGGATGTTTATTCTCAGATGATGCTGAAGGAGATGAAATGATTGTTTTTATCTGGAGGAGTGTTGTTTTATTAATTTGTCAGGAAGAGAAGACCTTCAGAAAACAAAAAGGCTTTCAGGACTCCTGTATGAGGGGTTCCAGGAGTCAGGACAGAATTAGAAACATAAACCTGAGAGAAACAGGAAGTGAAACGATTCTTTTTATTGTGGAGGATGAATGATTATTGACTTCAGAAACATGGCAGCTCGTAGAAAACTGAAGTTCAGATGTTATTTACAAAGATGAGGAAATATACATCTAATAAATATTAATAATCATTTTGTTCTTTTATCAAAAAATATGCGTATAAAGTTATCTTGTAAAAGGTTTCAGTTTGAGCTGCAGGTAAAGGTCAGATTTCAGAAACACTGAATCTTTACAATAAACAGGGCAGCGCTGCGTCTCCAGGTTCTACTCGATTCCTCTAAGATCTTTGTGATCTTTGCATACTTCTGGTATCACTCAGGGTTTTTCTGGAGAAGAAGGTCAGCAGCTACAGGTCATGTCCTCCAGGGTTCTGAGTCATTGTCCAGTGAGAGACAGCTGCTCCAACTCCTTCTTGTACCAATCAGGAGCCTCTGGGCCGCTGCCTCCCGTCGACTCGTGGTCATAACCGTACAAAACGGTCAGCTCCTCGTCTCTCTGCACGGCCCTCGAGGTTCGGATGCATTTGATTGGCCCAAAACGAGGATGGACAAACCTGGACAGGAGGTCAAACACATGTAAAAGGGCAGGTTCTGAGGTTAGGGTCCAGGTTTGACACTTTTACTCACAACATAGAGATGCAAACTATTAATCGACTAATAGTTGTTGAATAATGGTTTATTACAGGCGCTCATGGGCCGTGAGCGCCATCTTGAGGGCCTCAAAAGAACAACAGTTTTTAACTTGACAACTGTTAACAGTTTTTAACTGACAAACTGCCAAAGTTTGTCACTAACATGAAGAGCAGCTTCTGGTTCTAACATGTAATATTTTAAAAGTTCAAAACATTATCAAATACAGTTGCAGATACAGCTATATTTAAATTTATACTTTAAATTAATTTTTGTAGTTTATTTTTAAACATTTTGAATGTATTTTAAAGAAATTTTAAACTTGTCAAAAAGCTGTTGTTATTGTTTGTCACTAATATGAAGAACAGCTTCTAGTTGCGAAAGTTTAAAAAGGCTTTATTTTCATTTGTACTTTATCATATTTATTTTTACAGGGTTTTTTTATTTGAAACATTTATATTAAACTGTTTTAATTTGTTTATTTTATGCCCACAATTATATTTTTTGAATTGTCTATTTTTGTTATTGTTTATGATAAACCTGAGTGGTCTGTTGACTGACCTTTGTATTTGTTCAAATAATTGTTATGGGCAGGTTACAATATAAAAATGTTTGTTATAATCATGTCTTGTGATTATTTGACAGGAGTTTTACTTTTAAACTGTATGTGTATTTTATTTAGTTATGTTAGTTATGATAGTTTAGTTATGATAGTTTAGTTG